CCATAGTTAGTGGGATTGAACCTGTGTCATCCAACTCCAAAGCCCAAGTACTGACAGACTGATCTGTGAAGCCCACCTCACCTTCACATCTCCCTTCATTTTTGTTTAATGTGAGTCAGCAGACATGTGACAACATTTAAAATGCCTCTGATTAACCCCAAATAAACTTCAGATGTTCCTCTAGGCTTTTCGGGACATTTTTTTTCCTGCTTCTTAGCAGCAGTCTGAAGGTATTGTGCTCACACTGACTGGTATTTGGAACTGCTCAGAATGCCCTCCACCTTGACTAAGGCCCAAGTTCCCAAGTTCCAGCTTAAGAAGAACAGCCCCAAAGCATGATGCTGCCACCACATTATCTCAGTTGTTAAAGCCAAAAACTTTGAAATGCTTTATCTTGGTCTCAATTTTAATATTTGAACAAGTGTGTGTATATTTTTTTATTCCTACTGTATGTGTATGTAAATAATTTAAAAATTAAGAATGTGGTAAGAGTAGCAAGACATGTTGATGAATAATGATGCTACGGTAACAGGCAAACCAAGGTGATGGAATAAAGTTGCCTCACACCAGTCGTCCTCGAATGAATATTTAATACTCAGATCTGTGCAAAGCAGGGTAATATTCATGTAAATATGAAGTGAAAACAACAGCGTTGTTCACTGAAAGGTCATAAATAAGCATGAACCCGTCCTTGTGAAGTCTTAATAATATAAAAGAAAGAGAGGCGCACGACTGAGCATCCAAAACATGATTGTGTGTTTGGTGTTTGGGTACTTAGCGAGAAAATAATTACTTTCAGATCACATTTGGGTGTGATTATCTTTCTTATCAGCTCAACATCTTTCCAATCCCTGCACACAGCCAACAGAGGCTAGTCCTCAAAGCCCTCGAAGTTCTGTTAAGCTTTGCGTGTTTGCCTTGATCTGAAACCTTTGCTTTGGATGAGGCACTTTATAACTATTATGTTTGTTTATCCCCTGCTAAACTAGAACCCTTGATAATTTGTGCTGGATAATATATCAAGTCTGCTCATCTCGCCGCTTATCCAAATATGCTCCGTTTGTCTCCCTGAGCAATAACATGTTGCTGCCCTAGATAAATATGACCCATGTCCCACCCGAATGTAAGGATGTCTGGGAAAAACACACAAGCAGCCCACACGTCTCCTTGCGAACATTTGCCGTTTACATTGGCACAAAATTACTCAGTTACAAACAAAGAATGTTAAACCGGATTAAATTGAACAGAGAACAGAGTGCACCCTAGTTCTCAAAGTGATTGCCACCAGACCCCCACAAGTCACACAGTTCTTTCACCACTTGAAAATCGAAACTCAAAACCTACCTGTTCAAGACCGCCCACTGTCTTTAATTCCACTGCCCTGTATTTTTACTGATTGTTTATTTCCTCTGTAAAATTCTGCGTTTCATGTTGTTTTATTAATGGACAGTTGCCCTGAGGAACTCCAAAGGTGCTTACTAATAAAATGTATTACCGTATTTTCCGCACTAAAAGGCGCACAGGATTATGAGGCGCACCTTCAATGAATGACCTATTTAGTATTTTTTTTTTCATATATTGGACGCACTGGATTATAAGGCGCAGTCTACAATGCATCCACTAGATGGAGCTACGTTCCTTCCGTTCGACTCGAGAGGTGTTCATGACGGCCTCCAAAAAATGTAAATTAACGAGTACTTCAATAAAACTACGAAAATTAAAAATAATGCATCAAAACAGAAAATCAAGCAAGGAAATCAGAAAATAAATTATATAGCCCCCCAACAGAATTTATTTTGGCACTTCCTTGAGCGTAGCTGCAACAGTCAGTAAATTGGAGGAGACTGGACTGTCTCAGAAGTGTTTGTTATTTATTCCTTTGTTGTGTACTGTATTTACAAACGAGGAAATCACAAAATAAATTCTGTAGTGGGGCTACAGAATTTATTTTGTGAGTTCCTCGTTTGATTTTCTGTTTTGATGCATTATTTTCAATTTTCGTAGTTTCATTGAAGGAATCATTGATTTACGTTTTTCCGAGGCGGTCATGAACGCCTCTCGAGTCGAACGGAAGAAGAGAAGGCACGGAGACAGACAAAGACATACCTGTATTTGTTGAGACTGTGAAAACCATTAATAAAGTGTGCGTTAAAAAAAAACAAAAAAAAAACACCACAGCTCTTCTTTTTTCGGAGCTGCAACAAAAACTTATTTAATAAAGCAACGACACAGTTCAGTGAACCAACAACAAGTTATAACATTGTAAGCATGTCTCCAGCAAGGAGCCATATTGGGGTCGACATATTACCGTAATGACCATACACAAGGCGCACCAGATTGTAAGGCGCACTGTGAGCTTTTAAGAAAATGGAAGACTTTTTGGTGCGCCTTATAGTGCGGAAAATACGGTATGTAGATTTGTGTAATACGTTATTGACAAGTGATGATCAGTCATGATGTGCAGTTAATGAAATAGAAATAGAAATAATAGTGCCAGAATTTGCCAAGATCAAACTTGGAGTGCGAGCGGATAGACTGTGCAGAGTACCGTAGCTGTGTTGTCTTTACAGCAGAAGTGGCTGCATGATTTTTTTTTTTTTTTTTTTAATGAAGTGTCACAGACATTAACTTCTATTAAACTTTGTCGAACATAATTATGATAACAATCAGCTTATTTCAAATTTTAAAAAAAGTGAAGCTTGTTTAAGCCAAACTGTCACTTTCATCCTGAAGCTCATCTAATTATCGTTTTGATACGACTGTGACTCATAGAGGACAGCTTAATAGATGAATAAAATCATCCTAAAACATTTCACTTTTTCCACGAGTTTTAAATTCCGATTAAGTGTGCCTGTAGCAGTATCCAAGGGGCCCTCTTCTCCGTGGCAATTATAATCGTTAAACCAAGGGTCACCAATCTTTTTGAAAGTGAGACCGACTTCTTGGTTACGCTTGAATGCAAAGGGCTACTAGTTTGATGCACACTTTTGAAAAAACAAGTTTACTCAAATTACCTCGTGGCTGTCCTGTTCTTCTTGCTAATGTTCAGATTGCTTCTTCTACTGTAAAGCCTGTACTTTAGTTCATGAAGTCTCCTAAGAACAGTAGACTTTGCTATCTAAACTCCTGCCCTGTGGAGGTCTGATATTACTAACACCTGTTTCTTCTTTGCAGCTGTCACAGTGCTTCTTTCGTCAACTGCTGCTGTTTTCCTTGATCTACTTGTTCAAAATCTGTTAGTAGAGCAATGCTTTCTTCTTCGGTACATTCTGAATAGTCGTATTGGCTATGGCCAATGTTTGTACAACGGGTTTAATTGATTCTCCATCGTTCAGCTTCTCAATTGTTTACTTTTCATACATGCTCAGATTTTGCTGGTTAAACCTCTAAGACAAATCTGACACTCAACATAAACATCCACCATTTTTTTAAGACACACCTATGTAACAAAACTGTCAGTGACATGTATACATTTGCTTTGATTATAAATAGGCTGGTTCGTCCAAAAAGTGCCATATGTTAAGGTGAAACATTGATCTCTTGTCTTGCATTCATCTTTTGATGTCAAATTCAAAATTCTTCCGTCGGAATGTACGGATACCATTTCTTTCAGCCCTAGTACAATTGCGACTTCCATTTGAGTCCAAGCGGAGACTGACTACTAATATTTGCTAACGCCAATACGTCTTGTAATTGTGAATAGAAATGATGTTTTATTATCAAATATTGTTAAAAAAAAAACACAAATTTCGCTTGAACATGGCATCTGTTTTCACCCAAAAGTAACACTTTTTAGAATAACGTGTCATTCCAACACGATGACAACAATGGGTAACTTCGATCGCACTTTTCTACCTTCAAGGTAGTCAAAGCAATTTAACACTGTCAGCAATTTAACAGTGTCGCCTCATTTACCGACAAAATGGCTCCTGACAGTTAATGAAAACCGTTAGGTGCGCATTACCTGGTAAAATATGAACCACAAACAGAATATGCACACATAATTATCAACTATTCTGGACCATGAAAGAAACAGGACTCACAACACTGTGCATGTGGGGCGGGTCGAGAGATCGCAGATTTCAAATGATTTGAGAAAAAGATAGCATTGTGATTTTTCTGAGAGATATTGCGATTTAGATTCATTTCATTTCTTCATATCAGGCTTCAGTGCAATATTCACTTTGTACAGCAGCATTTACAAGCATGACAGAAACTTCAATGATACCATCAAAAACTTAAAAGCTACGACTAATCATTCTCGGACACTAAAGAGGCTTTGTGAAGGTGGCAGTCCTTTTTCAAGCTTCTTAAAATGGTTTCATAAGCAAGACCTACTGCTTGCAGTCATTAATGTATTCAACGTGTAATCGTGATTGTAAGCATAGATTCTTTTTAAGCAAAAGCGCTTGAGGGAAACAGTGTGTGACATTTTGAAACGACAAAAGAATAACACAGAGATGGTGTAATAGAGAACAGAGGCTTTGCTTTCCGAGTTACTGGCACCATAAAATAAGCTCTTTGCTGTGTTTGCTTCGAGTCTTGTTATGGCCAGCATGTAGAAACCCAACCACAGATGTGTGTTCCTGTTTACACTACACGAGAGATAATTGAGTCTTTCTGCTCAGTGACTCTCAACTTCTCAACCGGGGCTGTGTTGCTACTTGGCAAAATATCTCCCATGTTTGGCCTGCGCCCACTGAAGCGCTCTCTATTTACCTCTTTATCCACCAGAACTTCCTCTTTGTCACAACTCCCACCTCTCCTCCCTTCCGTCTTCCACTAGAACTATTATCTGTTATTCATCTGGAAGAACGCCATGTCTGCCTCACACAGTCGAGCTGCCCTAAACACCTGACAATATTTTAGCTCTTCCCAACATTCGATCTGTTTCACAGAAGAGATATGTTCCACCTCTTAGCCACCCTTCCACAGTCATGCAAGTTCATCCATCTGAAATCTCAAATTCAAATTGGACAGATTCCCTTCCTGTGTCTCACCTGGAACTGGCCGGTGTAGTCTTCATCTGTCGTACCCTCCCTGCCCTCCTTCAGTGCAATGAGGGTAAAACCTCTGAAATATGCAGGGCTGGTTGCCAAGAGGATCACTGTGGGGAGGACGGAGAGTGTGTATTAACACCTTGGACACACTGAGCAGTAAAGAGGCTTTACTACATTGACACATCAGGGTCACGCTGCAATGATGCAGGATCACCCTGAATGATGCTGGCGGGAAACCAGCATTCCTGTCAGCATCAGCATGATGTGGAAGAATGAGCACTGTAAATGGGGACTTAGCATCTCACTGTGGAAGTGAGGACACCTTGAAAATCCAAGAGAAATGTGAAAAGAACGAGCAAATAAATGCAGTTTGTTGTCAGCTCACTATTTTGAGTAAAAACGTTGATTAATCATTTTCATTCTATATAAACCCTGCAATATTCAGATAACAGACAATAGTCACGAGGCATCTTTAGCAGGCTTCGATGTATCTAGTATCTAATTTGAGACCTCATTTCACCCAAATTGCAAAATAGGAATGAGACTGAATATGAGCTATTCAAGGAGATGAGGCGACAAACTGTTAAAATATCCGGCAGTTCCCTCACTTTATGCTGTAACATTGTTCTCTCAAGCTAATAATATGAATCAAGCACAGCGGGGGTCAAACATACAGTTCGCGGGCGGGATTATGCACGGAAATAGGTGTAATCAGACCCGCGAGATGATTTGGTGAAGTTGAAGAATAAGTCCAGCCTGTCTGAATACAAAGCTGCCCCAAATTCGTCAGATAGCCACTGTTAGTTGTAGGCAAGTAAGATACGTCTTTATATTTATTTTTTTTAATTCATGTTGCAAAATTCAAAGAGATGGTCATTCTGCAAGATATTAACATGCAATGCTCAGATTAGCAAATCAGGTTACGGTTTGTTTTAAAGAAAATGTTTTTTTTTTTAGGTGCAACATAAATTAAATATGAATGTGTTAAATATGGCACCTACAACTACTGCTCACACAAACACAGATGACAAGGATTAACATCCATGTAATATCATTAACTGCATTGCACCACACAATTCTTTCTGGGAACCATAGATATGTAAAATAGATACGTGTGACATGCCCGACCGAGCCCTGGGCAACGTTAAAGCCCATCCGGGCAAAGGGTTGCTGCTTTCTATGTTCGTAACGTCAGAAAAACAAACAAAACAAAAAAAATCCAACATGCATTTTCTGTATTGACAGCACACGCTTTTGTGTTGACATAAAAGTATGTTTCATAAAAATAGGTTGTGAAATGAGCAAGTTATGGCCTATTTTTACTGCGCTTAGATTGCCTTGAACGGCTGGCACCGACGTCTGTGAGCTGGGCTGCTACCTGTCACGTCGATTGAAGCACTCTTGCTTTTGTAACAAGCTAATAGCTCGATGATCGCTGAAGTGATAGACAGTGAGTAACCACACGAGCATTCCCATGATCTTTAGCATCTATCTTTGTCGCCGCTCGGCGCAGATAAAAGCCTTTGATCGCTGCAAAACAATAGGATCGCAATTTGGGCCTGTACCGGGCATTTAGCTCAGCCTTGTACCGTATTGGCCCGAATATAAGACGGCCCTGATTATAAGACGAGCCCCTCTTTTTCAAGACTCAAGTTTGAAAAAAGACTTTTTGAACACCAAATCAATTTTTATACAGAAAATAATTACATTACATCTGAAACAAATGATTATAACAATATATTTGAGAGAAAAAGCATGTTATTTTGCCTCATTCAAATCTAAAGTGCAATCACATTCGTAAATGAATGGCTTCTGGTTTTTGAAATGTAAATTACATCATAACTTCTCCTCAGCTGCTGATTAACCTGGCCGATCTTCGACCCACTTTTCTCCAGATTGTCACTACGTTTCTCCATTTTCTATTATCTCTTCTCTTATTTTCTTCTCTTTTCCTTCTTACCGCTATTTTTTATTTTTCTTCTTCGTGCTACCGCTATTTTTATTTTTATTCTTTGTGGCAGGGGGTCCCTTTGGCCTGGGGGGGCAA